TGAGTGCAAGGGGAAATGGGGAAGGAGAAGGGCTTTAGAAGAAGGAAGTCAGCTAATGTGTAACAGTCTCCTCAAGTCTGCTTTAAGAAGAGATCTTTGCTAGCACAAAGTTAACAAAATGAGAGGGATATGAAACAAAGTAGAGAAAGACAGTTAAGTGAGAGGAAAAGCACTAATGATGAGAATCAGAGAACAAACTTAAGAACTTAGCCAATAAACAGAAAGGAAGCCATGAGGGGGCTTCCCAGATATGGGAAAGATGCTGTTGTGTTTCTATGAGCGGTAAAAACAGGATTACCCAACTTCTTTAGGTCATACGGATATTTTTGTATGTATGATATCTTTTATAACTAAAAAAGTGAGAGAAACATAAGCCGAATCAAGATATTAGCCTATTTGAATGCTGAAGGGACGCACACTAGGAAAAGAAGGAAAGATCAGCAGACAGAGAAGATATTTTGCAGAAATAAGCATGCAAGGTAGACTGTTAGGTTAGGTGGCTCAGGAGGCGGCACAAGAAATAGAGACTCCAGTGAATCAGAAAAGAAAGGAAAGGAAAAGGTTTATTCTGCGTCCCCGGGAGACCCATGTACTCCAAGGACAGGGCACGTGGATTCATGCCACCGGGGGGCGGGGGGGCACTTTTTTTATACTGCGGTTGGGTGAGGGGCGGGGACATGAGCTGAGGTATTCCGCTGAGGAAGTTTCCACTGCAGGGGGTCAGCAGGGGTATTCAGGAAGGAGTCAGTATCTGTGTGGGGTCGTGTTGATTCAGGGAGAAGCCAGTATCTGTGTCTGGCATGCTGATCTGTTAGAATGCTAGGGGGAGTCCATTATCTGCATGTATCTGATCCTGGGCTCTCTCCAATCTAACATCCTGGCCTTTTGGTGATAGAGGACGGCGACTCGTTCTGACTACTTCCAGCTGACCAGGGACGTCGAGGGGGGGCGTTTAAAGGCCAGGGTTAGGCAGAGACAGATTAGAGGGCAGCCGAGTGTAGGGATGGAGCAGGAGCTGATTCACAGTCACCTGTGACATCTCCGTTATCCAGGAGCAGATGAACTTGAGGAGACGGGGCTAGGAGAAAAAAGACACAGATGAGAATCAGGGGCCCTATCATGGGTAGGACCCAGGTAGCTAAGGGGCTTTGGAACCAGCCGGAAGGAGCGTTGTCCTAGAAGTGTCTTGCATGTAGTTCTTCACTCAGCTTAGTGAGGGTCTGCACGTTTTGCTCCACTACTCCGGACTTGTTGATGTAGTAGCAGCATTCTTCCTGAAGGAATATGCAGGTTACTCCTCTTTCTGCAGTCAGAAGGTCTGAGGCGCGCTGGTTCTGTAGGGCTACCTGGGCTACTGATGTCACTTGCTGCTGTAGGGAGGCTCTAACATGACAGGGAGGAAAGCAGCCCAGTGTGTTCAGAGGCGGGATAGAGGGAGCAGCCAGGCGAGCTCCGACTCTCTGGGCTGGCCTTGGTGAGACTGGCTGCGGTGTGGTTTTGGGTACAGTTCCAAGTGACTTGTCCCCCAGTTACCAGATTACTGGTCTGGTAGCACATCCGTGGGAGCAGGGTGGGCTCTGGAGTTTCGGGAGGCATCAAAGACCTTGAACCTCCACACATAAGCGGGTGGGGGTGGGTATAGGTTGCTCAGGGCCGGGAGGAGAAGGAGGAGGAGGGGGAGGGCGGCTAAGGCGGACCTTAGTGGGGCCCAACGCCTCACATTTATAGAAGTCATGCTGCTCCGGGGTCCTCTTGAGCCTGGAGAGGTGGTGCCAGGACAGTTCGTCAAGCAGCTTGGCCATGGTGGGGGCTGTGAGGACTACAGTGTGAGGTCCCGTCCACCTAGGCTCCAAGGCTTGTGGATGTAGGTGTTTAAGGAGGACCGAGTCACCAGGGTGAAGGGCTGGTCCTCAGGAGTCCTGGTCGGTCGGCTCTGGCTTGGGCAGAAACCTGTTCTCGTGTTCTCGGAGCAATTGCCTGGTTAAAGACAGATATGGGAGATACGTACCCAGGGGAGGGGGATCAGTAAGGAGACGGTGGTTGAGCAAGAAGGGTCAAAAGGGCTCAAGGTGGGGCTCCTTGGTGTAGCCGGATTTTGGTCAGAGCCATGGGCAGGAGGTCCAGCCAGAAGCTGCGAATTTCTAGAGAGAGTTTAGTTAGACAGTCCAATAGGTTGGAATTGAGTGGCTATGATGACAGTTCAAGCCAGTGACAGACAAATCCAGCAGGATGTAGAGAAGGGATTGATGTTAGAGAGTAGATGGAAAGTTGTGTCGATGAGGGTGGGCATAGGAGTAGGTCCAGGGTTCGTAAATAGAGAGTGACACTAGAGGATTTCCCATCCCAGACAGTAGAATTGATGACTTCCTCATCATTCCATGTCCATTTCACTTGAAAATATGATAAACCTGAGCAAAATTGGAGGGTCCCTTGCCAGGTAAGAGCCTGTGAGGAATGATGGGTCATCCGGTCCTGGATAGTGTAGCTGAATCTTCTTCGGGGATGGTGGGAGGCACTCGGTGAGCCTGAGGGAGGAAAAGGCGGGGAGGGAGGGAGGAAGGGAGCAGGTCGCGCAGCCTGTTCCCAGGCCTCTAGCCGCTTGGATTTTAAAACTGCCGCATATTTTCCTTTGGGAAAGGTGGAGGGGGATGGGGCGAGAGGGCGCTGAGGTCAGAGTAGTTCTCAGTTCAGAGGAGCGGACAGTCGTGGAGGAGATAAGGCTTTCACAGTGAGACTGAGGTAGGCGACTGTGGTCTGGGACAACAGGGCCCCATAAGGGGACGCATGGCAGTGGAGGATCAACATCCCTGCAGAGGGAGGGGGCCAGGAGTGGAAGGAGCAGGGAGGCTGGAGCAGGGAGGCTGAAGGGCAGAGTGGCCGCTAGGATGGTGAGGTCATCTCATCCTAACGGGCACAGGGCATGAAAACATGACTAAGAACGAGTGCGTTATAGGGCTATAATCAAGGAGGCAGGGAAGAAGTCCGGTGTTCAGTGGGCGGGTGGATTTGCCATCAATGCCCATGACCGAGATCTTGGAAGGGTAAAGGGGCCCTAAAAAGGAGGGCAGGACTGTTGCCTTCAGTGCAGCCCTGGGCTCGGCGAGGGTGATTGGGGTCATCATGTCAGGGCATCTGCAGTCTTCAGCCAGTCCCAGTATGGCCAGCGGCGGGTCCTGACCTGGAAGGGTGGCCCCTCCACGCTGGGACGCAGGGGGCCCGCCGCTTTTCCAGGGGCAGTCACTCTTCCAGTGGCCACTTTGACCACATGCCGGGCAGGGCTTGGTTGGAGCCTGGGGCCGGGGGCACGGCATTGCCCAGGGGCCTTCATTTCCACATTTGAAGCATTCTCTGGTTGCACCCCCGCCGCACACAGCCCCCCTGGGGCCATGGCGGCTGCCGGCGACCTCAGGGCCACAACCAAGGCGTGTTTGCAGGTCTCCCTTCTGTGGAAGGCAGGCCACCCATTTGACTGTGCCTGCTCCTCCCGGGCATTAAGAACCTTGATCTCAGACCGTGAGGGCTATGGCAGGGGTAGGATGGGAAGAGGCTGTTTTAGAGCTAACGTTCTCAGGATTTGGGCTCTCGGGGATAGGGGAGAAGGAAGCTTCTGGTTAAGAGGGTCTGGAGAGAAAGGTCTGAGGTGTTTTTCAATTTGAGAAAGATCAGAGAGTGAGAGGGGAATGGCTACCCAGGTAATACCCTTTCCAGTTGCAAGCTCTCGCAAAGGGAACTGGCCAGTCACCTGTGAATTTAAGTTGCTGTCAGTCATGGGGGCGGAGAGTCAGTGGAGTGCACAGAGGAAGGCGGGAGGTTAGAACTTACAGAGGGTACTGCTTGGGGTACAGGTTACTAGGGCAGGGCTGTAAGGGTAGGGGAGAGAGCGGGAGAGGTGGCCTGGGTAGGCGTGGGAAAGGGACCGGAATTCTTTGATGAATGCAGTGGGGTTGGCGGAGAAAGACACCAGCTGCTGTTCAATCGTGTTTAAAAGCAGAAACCTCCCAGGGGCAGGGCAGAGGCGGGGAGGGACAGAAGGAAGGTGGAGTCTGCAGACGCACGTGTATGTGTGTGTGTGTGTGTGTGTGT